ATGTTAGGAGGCTAACAAGACGATCACAGATTGGTTTTCATTGTACTTGGTCACTTTTGTCTTTGGGAGACTGTGGGAAGGTCAGCTACTCCTGACATGGAGAGATGGGCAATTTGAGCAACATGATAGAACTATTGAGAAGATTTGGGAAGGAGAGGCAGTGGGGAAGCAAAAGACCCAATCCTGTGTGTATTAGTGTGTGATGCTCAATCATTATGCAAAGAGGCAAGTGTATATAACATCTGAGAAACCAGAGAATCTTGTTTGTTTGGGAAGAAAATATAATTAATGCGTTGCTCTGTGCCTTTCTGAGCTGTGATGGAAACGTGCTTTAAATGATGTACATAGGGAACAGTTCTTGATTCTCCCACTGATATTAAGAGGCTGGATGAACAGAACCGGAACTAGTGGGTCAGAAGCCTAGTACAGCTCCAATGGGGATGGAGTTGCAAGTTGGGGCCTTTTCTTCTCTAATAGATTTTTCTCTCTCTGACATCAGGAAGGTGATGCATAGCTATGAGGTAGGCTTGATACCAATTGCATACTTCCTTTACTCCTTTAATGGGAACCTGTGAGAAAGTCATGGGCTTTGTAGAATATGAAGGTAAGTGCTGAGAAACTGGCCTTAGTTTTCTTAAGGGTTGGAAATCAGCAGTGGTAGCTAGACAGAAAGGCATCACCTTACCCCTCCCTTCTCATCAAAACTTCTGTGGTGTTATTTCAGGTGTAATTTATGAAAAGTTGTGCAGTAGGTATCTCTCCAGTGAACCTCTATGAGGTTGCATCCCACTATTTGGCAAGTAGTGTGGTAAAAGCATCTCTCTGTACGAGGTCAGATTAATCTTTTTTTTATGGAGTTTTACATGAATGCTTTGCTTTGGGATTGTTGTTTATCCGTGCATAAATCTTTATTATACCAACAGCCTGCAGCCCCAGTGAAGCAAAGCAAAACTTATTTTTTTTATTCTCTGTATTTATCACCTCAGTGAGAGAATTCATTTGAAAAGGAGCTGTGAGAGTTTCCAGCAGGTGTGGTGGGGGTTTGGGTGCTGTGAGCTCTCATTGGGCTTATGCTTCTCCCTTTTAAATTTGAATGAGATATACCAATGGGGCATCATTCCCTTTTGGATGATACTGAGGATGGAACTGAAAGTGAACTTTTGTTGGAAGGTGCTGTGGGAATAGAGGAGCAGGTTATGCACGCGTCCATGCATCCGCTTTAGTCTGGTGGATCAGAAGATGTGCTGATGTATGCAGGCTATGCTTTGCAGCCAGCTCAGTCTGAAGCCTCGATTTTTACTTTCTGACATGTTGGTTTGGGTTGCAGCACATGTAAGTGCTTGTAGCTTTTACCAGGTAGTGAATTTGAAGCCTCCACCTTGAGGTTGACCTCACCTAATTTACCTTTGCAATAAAAGATACAGTGTGTGTCTCTATTGTCTGCACACAGTGGGATTACTAATACGTTAGTTATCTGTGATATAACAGTGTACTTTTGTCAATGAATGCAAATAGTAAGAAAGATAAAACTAGAGGTTTTATTTAAAAACAAAAATATTTTTGTATGGAGAAAAAGCATAATCCTACTTATCTAGGTTTTGACTTCCTGAACAGTGTACAGTAATTTTCGTTCACTGCATGACTTCCAAAATCTGCAGTGCGTGAAACCCAATTCCCACCAGTAATAGCTTGGAGGAACCTCTGGGCCTGTGTAGGTAAAGACTTAGACATGGTACATAACCATCACTGAGAGAACTTTTATTCTGACATTTCCTAAATTTTGAGTGCTTGACTTCACTATTTTAGCATCTTTTACAATGGCAATGTCATACCCATTTCTCTAGGATGAACTGAAGAAGGCAGGAGCACCATCATGGTCTCACCAGGAGATCCAACCCACAGGCTTCTGCTGCTGGACACAGCGGCATAGCTGGCAACAGCAGCTGCCTGCTCCGGTCCTAAGAGGGGGGCATTTAGCAGAGTTGTATGACTTGGTGTTGCAGGGGAAAACACTCTGGAGTCATGAAATTTTACTTAATTTATTGCCAATTAAGATAAACTTTTAATTACTGATTCTGGTATTGAGAAATAACGACAAACAATTACACGCTTGAGAAGACACCTCAACTTCCCTCCTCCCTCCCTTCCTCCCCCCTTGCCAGTCTCCCATCCACTCCCCGCACATTATACTCAGTCATGGGCATCAGTGTCGGGTGCTTTTCTTTCTCTGCCACTCCTTGTTTCTTGCTCTTTTTTTTCCACGGCTCCAGCGCGGGGTCCTCCATAGGCCACCATCCTCTCAAAGGCGTAGCTCCTCCTGGGTATCCACATGCAGAGGTGTCCCCTGCCGCTGCATAGGCCTTGCCTTTTTCTCTGGTGTCTCCTGCCCCGATTGGCTACTACCAATAGGTCCAGTTTCTCTAAAACCGGTAGCCAGACCGTATCCTAAACTAAACCATTCCCCATCTGCTGTTAAAAATGTTCTTCTTCAGGCTTCACTTTCTCCTGCAAAGTCATTCCCTGGCTTCGTCTGTACTGTCTCTGTGCTGGTGAGTGCAGAGAAGGGAGGAAAGCTTTCTTCAAAGCACAGGAAAAACAGGTCCCTGAATTTTACTTCGGTTCCTGGCTGTACCTACTGTTCCAGGTGATGTCCTGTGAAGTGGGACTGGAGGCCATCAGCTCTGAGGGGACAGCAGAAAGGCATTGCGCACATGTGTGAGTGCCACAGCAGCAGGGAAGATGCTCTGTGGGATGGTTTGCAAGTTGTCTGGACATGCATGAGCTGTGGGAAAGATGTGAATAGGCTTTTTGTGGTGGTGGACTTTGAAGGTTTTACCTGCTGAGCCCTCTCATCTCTACTGGATGTGTGAAATGCAGTTTTTTGAAGGCTAATAACTTTCCCACAAAAATCCACTCATAGTTGGGTAAGACAAAAGGCACGTGCCTGAAATGGAGCCACACTTTGTTTCAGGTCCCTGCTCTAAACACCCCGGAGCATGAGAGGATTTCAGATTAAGCCACCAGAAATTTAACCTGAGCAGAATAACACACTTTGCCCTGCTTCATTCTTAGAAGTAATTGAAGTGCTATTTTCGAAGTTCTTCCAAAAACTTTTATCCTTTAGACAGAAACAAGCTCAGAATATGTAAGCATAGACAATTAAGGTTTGGCAAAATTATAAGCTGATGAAATTGGGGTCCTGTGGTAGGAAATGCTGATCACTATTTGTAATGGGTAAGAGTATTTCCTTTGTGCTAGAAGTTGCCTAATGTAATCCAGGCTATGCCAGTGAATTTCACAGGGAGACAATGGTGTTCACATGCACATTTTGGAAAAGCCATGTTTTATGGATGAGCAAAAAAGTACCCCACAGCCAAATAAAATATAGCAAAGTGTCTGTGCATCTTTGCAGAGTGATGTGCTTTGTCCTGTTTCAATTAACGCTATGCAGCAGACTAAAATCCTAAATGTAAAAAATAAGCAAGCTGCACCAAGGCTGCTGCAAAGCCATACAGAAGGTCAGTGTTGGATGGTAATGATATGGAAATCAGCTTGGATCACGAGCGTGAATGAGTTCTGTGATTCAAAACTGGGCAGTAATAGGATTTGGTATTAGGGTCAGGCAGGTGTGAAGATACTAGTGATGAAGATTTGAAAATAAACTTTAAGACTTGCGGGGCAAAATGCAATGAGTTCTGTAGCCAGTGTAATTGTACTAGTGGAGAAAGGTATTTTCCCCTTCTTGACCTTTTGCCCTCCATTCAGTCACAGAAATCCATAGGTTCAAAGGTTTGGTTTTGACTTACCAAGGAGTGAAGAAGCTCTGATAAGGCTTTGTAGCTATTAAACTTTCATAGGTTTGCAGCCTTGTGGTTGAAGCTGAAGAGACAGTAACTGTTTTTTTCTCTTGGGGATAGGATTTCAATTAAGCCAGTGTTGCTCAGTATTAGAATTCCAGCCTTGCAGGCTGCTAAGTATATGGAGTTTGTGTTACAGGGAGCAGGACCTTTGCCTGAGCCTAAAAAGTTTCCAAAGTTGCTCTCTCTCCTTTACCCATCTTTGCAAAACTCAGTTTCATTTAATGCTCTGATAGCGCTTGTTCTAAAGTCCGTGCAACTGCTGTGTTGATGCTGCTGCAGACCTGTGCTGCAGACCTGTCCAGCATCTTAACAAAAAGCAGCGGATATGGTTTTTCAGAAGTGTTTGGCATTGCCAACAGTTCCTCTCGCTGAAATCAATCAGAGCTGAGGTCTTTAGAGAATCTAGCTGAAAACCCTGTGTTAAAAGTTTTTTACACACTCCTTTGAGCTTTTGACTACTGGGTTTTCGACAGTTCATGGTTTATGAGGAGAAAAAGAGATGGACTGACTTTGCTTTGATGTCTTCAGTACAAATCAGTCCCTTTCAGTTGAAACCCATGGGTGATTTGTGGAGCTATGCGAAACTGCTTGTAAAGCTAACTTGGTGTACAAGGTTTTTGGTGTGCCTTTCACTTCTCCCACAATTCCCCTTGAAAAGAGCTATGACTTAATGGTTTATGGACCAGGCTACCTTCTCTTGCAATGGGAAGTCTAAGCTGTGGATTTCACTGATATCTTGTTAATTGGAAAGATCTGGTGGGGAAAAAAAATAAAGAAAACCTAGCCTGGGAAGAGTCCTCAAGGGTTACTGTCAAATAGAGCACTGGCCTGCTGAGGGGACAGATCTTTGTGGGGTTTTATGCTGTTCTACTGAAATCAGTGATATGAATGAGCTATACATATGCCCAGATACTGTTGTGTTTCCTAACTAGTCCTTTGCCTGCTTTTTCAGTTGCTGCATGTCATGTGCCTTCTGTTCTGCTGTAACACAGCAGCTTTGCATCTTGCTGCCTGTATGACTCCCACTCTCCATTCTGCATGATCTGCTGAATGTACTTATTATGCATCCAGAAAAAGCTGAAATAGATGTTGATGGTTTTTGCTTTTTGTTTTTTCCCCTGTCCCTTCTTCTCTTGACAGTTTTTTATCATGCTGTTAATTATATTTCTGTTGGAGCTTGCTGTTGTGATTCTGTTCTTCGTCTACACCGACAAGGTAAGTCAGATTCTTCATTTTTCTCTCCCCTTCAGCAATTTTTTATGCCCCTTTTCCCTATAAATAAATCATGAAGCAGTTGGCTTGGTATGCATATCATGCTTCTGTCTTCCTTGAGACACCCCTCTCAGAAGGAGCTCTCTCAGAATGCATAAACAGCCTTGCAGGACTGGGCTCTCTTTCTTGCTCATGTGTACAACTCAAGGTCACAGATATTGCCAAGTGCATCTACCATTTAAAAAAACCCCAAACACCAAAAACCCCCACAAAAAAGCAAAGAAGCCAATGAGCCTTACTAGGAACATGTACGAAGAGACACCCATCAGAATTAATAGGGTTTTTAAAAAATATGTTTACAATTTAAGAGCCACGTTAATGTTGTTACAAAGGAGGTGTCCTTAGCACACAATTCATTATCTTTCCAAGTTGCTCCTTGCAGCACGTGTACTTAGATTCTAGTGGAAAGCCAAGGTAAACGTATAAAAGTTTAATAAACAAAGCTTTTGTTTGTAGTTTCAAATTTACTTATGTTTGACCTTTGTTCCTGTGCTTACTTGGTATTTCTGTTGTAAGGGCAAGATTGCCTATCTGAATTATCTTTATCCTTAAAATAATTTTTCTTTAAAAAACAAATCTTACATGAATAAACCCAAAACAAGGGCATAATTGTGCATAACCTGCCTATTCAATCAAAATTGTCAGACAAGCTCTCTTACAGCTGAAGACTAAGGGAGCTTGAAAATCACAAGGTAGATGCCAAAATTTTGCCATGAATTAACAGTCATCAGGTACGTGACCAATAAACAGCTTCTTCTGGAATGGAAAGAAAAAATAGCAGAAAATAAATAAAAATTAAAAATAACTACACAAAATATCAAAATAAAATTGAGATAACAGTAGACCTAGTATGTTCTCCAATAACCTGGATGAGGAGTGAATAAGATGTCAACATTACTTTCTAGAAAGGCTCCAAATTAATTGAACACTGTGAGTGAGTGTCAGGTGCACTTCTGAAGGACTGAAAAGAACTAGGTTGCCGGACGGCATGCTGTAGCTGGAACATGGAATTAACTTGCAAGGTAATTAAAGTGGAAGGGGCAATTTAAAATTACTTGTATGCATTATTGGATTCTGAATTACTTGTAACCTTTTCGGAGAAAGATCTACATGTCATACATGACAGCTTAATAGGTATCTACTTAATATGCAATGGGCCTCCAAAACCCAAATACAACACTTGGCGTATACTTAGAAAGGGAATCAGAAAATATTGTCATGTCATTGTATAAATTGATGGACTCATCTGACTGTGTATTTAATATTGAGTTTTGGGTACTTCATTTCAGTGAAGGGTAACAGAAACGATTAGAAGCACTAGAAAGGTGGGAGAGAGCAGTCATGAAACAGGATTATGGAGACTACCCTGATTCAGTTTGGGAAAGCAAAGAGATCCTCTGCTTAAGAGATCTTAAGAAGAGAAATGATAGCAGTTTCTAAAATAATGACATGCTAAAGACCTGTCCTGAACACAGAAGAAATACTTGAAAATATTAAGAAGTAGGTTTAAAAGATAAATGTTTCTTGTGCTCCACATCATTATCTTGTAGAATTTCCTGTTGTTGGCTGTTGTTGAGGCTGATAGTTCAATAAATGTGTAGGTATGGAGGAAAGAAAAAAAAAAAAAGAAACATTTTTGTTCATAAAGCAGTCAGCGCTGTTATGTTGACAAGTGTGTCACAGAAAATGTTGGTCCTCACTCTTCAGAGGTTAAAATAGTGAAAAAGTGTCAGGAAGTATTCCCTCCCTCCTTTAGCCCATTGGTTTGCAGTGGTTTTTATTTGTTCTTAATAAAGAGACCAGGCACTTCAACTGTCCTCTGAGTCACATACTGTAGGTTGATGCAGGAGGTACGCTACAGTTTTGTGTAAGATCAAAACAGAGTCTAGGATATGGGCTCCAGTTCAAGTGCAGTTTTACTGAATTAAGAAATTGCTGTAGTCTGTGTATTGTGGATGATCAAATTTGAGACTCTTAATGTTCCTGTATGACTTTAAATCCATGGTCTTATACTGAGGAAACCAATAGTTTGCCTCTGTGTTACACTTACAGTCCTGGCTACGAAATAAATAAAAGAGCAGCAGCCTAAAACTAGTATTTTCATACAGCATGCTTAGAATTTGTGTGTTGGCTTTCCTGTTGTGAAGAACAGTATTGCCACGCGTACTGGCATGGCGAAGTAGCCAACCCAGACAAGTCCACCACAGTAATTCAGTTAATGCAGTTCCTTGGAAAATCAGTGAAGGAACAATCTACGCTAACACTTGCATATCAGAAGAAGGTAACATTAATTTTGTGTGCAAAAGCAGAAAAGGACTCTGCAGATTAAGGCTTTGATGGCTTCTGTATCATTCATTTTATCTTTATATAAATATATAAAATCAGTTTTTTCAAGTACCTGGTAGCTTTCTGTTTATTAGGAGTGTATGTATATGTAAAATTCTTCCCAGGATAAAATGGGGGCCAATCATTATTTTCTGTTTCTGGCTTGAGAAGAGATTGAATAATGGATTCCCTGGCAGTTTTCACTTACTCCTACTTTGTCAAGTGGAAGGACTTTGGAGTGGATACTTTGTCCCTTGCTACAGAGTTTAATCAATACTCTCTGTGAAGCAGGGCAGTGTTTTTACCCTGTTTAGGTGGAGAGGCAGGAGCTGAGAGAGTTGCCCAAGACTCTGCAGGCAGCTGGGGCCTGTTCTAAATTTAGAGCTCTTAGTGTTTTGGCTGATGACAAGGGATTTGAGAGACTGAGCTGTGCCGATGGCAGGGCTGGGTATTGCAGCTGACTTAATAGCACTTGTCCAGTGAATTATGTCCATTTTGTTCCTTCTGCTGTAGAATGGGCACAGTAGCAAGCTGGTGCTTGCACTGCAATGTCAGTCACTGGGTGAGTGTGCATCCAGGTGCGTGTGGACACAACGCATGGGCTCTCGAGCTGTGAATCAGTCTCTCTGTATCCATTGCTGGGACTGTTGCTTTCGTAGCATGTTTATTATTAAAAAGCATCAAGACAAAAGTTCTTTACAGCCATTCACAGATAGGTTTTTGGCAGAGCACTTTTATTCTTTTGCTGTAGAAGAGCGTGCAGCTGTGGAGGTGGACAAGACAGGCTGCTGGGACTCCAGGCAGTCTAGACTGACCCGTTCTCATTCACCAGCTTGGGAGAAGCCCAAAAATTGCCTCTGCCTCTCATTCTAGTGACTTGGCAGCAGCCTTCCTGAGCTTTTAGGCAGCCAACTTGTTCCCATGCCCTAGAATGTCATCTTCCCTTTTCTTGATGGGGAAATGTTTGTCTTGATCTCATGAGATAAATGCTGCCCTGGACTTTACAACTCTTTCTCTGAATTGGCTATGCAGTCTGATGTTGTAAAGAGAGGGGGGCTTGGAGAAAGCTCAGGAATACATAGTATGGGAAGGAAAGGGTAATGCCTTGCTTCTTGGAGCTCCAGTGTGGATCTCTTTGGCAGGGCCTGAGTTAACACTTTGTTCACTATTTCTCCAACTGTCCTGGCTGGTTACATTGCGAAATATGAATCCCTTGAGTTCAGAAGTGAAA